GCTTCCACGGTTTTTTTTTCTTTTGAATATGTGACATATAAGGATATGAGTGAATCTCTTTCAGTTTGGGATTGGATTTATCTGACCAAATTCACTTTTAAGAATTTTTATTTATGCAACATAAGATAAGATATCCTGCAGTGGTCAGTACGCATTTGACAATGTGGCATCAGAAACAGAAGGTGACCACTCAACTTTTATAGAACAATTGCATTGCTCGCTGTTATTCTGTCGATTACAGTCTCTTCCCTCAGTTTGGAAAATGGGATGAACCTTTGTGACCAAAATTCGTTACGCTCTAAATTTGCAACACTTTTCTGAAAAATTTGATCCGTTGCTCAATGCTCAAATAGTATTATTAGCCGGACCGCCCTATGTGATAATTTTTTGCCATACATTTAGGGAACTCATTTTTACCTCTTTTGTTTATACGTAAATATCCTTTTCGGCTGTGATTGCTATTGTTTCCTTTACGTGTATTTTGCAATCTGCAGTTCTGCAGTTTTGTATGTGAGCAAAATGAGTTCGGTTTGAGTTCGTGTTGTTTTCACTTTTATAGAATTTATTTTTATATGTGAGTTTTTACGTATTTCCCAGGAGTAACAGGTAATTATTTCCCTTAAAAACATCACAAATCTAAACTCATTCAAGGTTAAATGGCATATTGCAGAATGCATAATTACACTTGCATTTTATCTGAAATGCATTTTAAATGCAATAATTAAATAATTAAAATTCAGCGGGAAGTAAACTCTGACTGACTTTGAGGGCAAGTCTGACTTTGAGGGCAAGTCTGACTTTGAGGGCAAGTCTGACTTTGAGGACAAGGATTTATAATTTGGTCACCCTCATTACTACATTTGAGTCAACTAATTTAGTTTAAGTTAACTAATTTAATTCTATTAAATAAAATGTTTCATAAATAAGTTATTAAGTCATTTAGATATATTTAAACCATAAAAATAAAGTTTTCATGTTTAAATCACATCTGGTTACAAAATAGTGTTCGATATAAGAAATATTTTTAGTAGTCTTAATTTTATAAAATATAACGAAAAAATTGTTTGGTAAAAAAGCCATTAATTTGATATAATTGTGCTATAATTAGTGTTATTATAATATATTTAAGTTCGAACATACAAGTGAAGTACGACTTTGGATCAGTTGGCTAATGAATACTGACTCTGAGCTTCAAATTTGGCAGGGCACGAGCTCTAACCATGGTACGAACAGTGCCACAAAACTTATTTATGAATAATTAAATCTAAGATATAATTTCCAAAACCACTAATGATGGATATTTGGCTGTATGATCAGCTGAACATTCAATTAATAACAATAATATTAAAAGAATTTTTGTTGTTGTAGTTCACTACTTTTGGAAACCACTCCACATTTAATGTTATTAACACATTATATTAGTCAGAACTTTGCATTATTTAACAATATATGCTCCAAGAACTGATATAAGACTTGATTGAAAATGATATAAACCGATATAAGTGTTGATAGATAATACATTATTATATAATAATATTTGAATATAACAATATTATAATGTAGTATATTTATTATATACCAGCAGTGTTCTTTTAGCAGAAATTGTCAAGATTTTAAAATAAAATTTATATTTGTTAATATAAATTATTTAATTAATGATTTTAGCGATCACATCTTCATTCTATTTAAATTTCATTGACGAGCGCATCTATTTAAAATTTGCGAATAAGTGATAGTCGGTGAGTATCAGATCCACAATATTCATTAGCTGATTGAACTATTCCAAGTATAAATCTTTTAACTAAAGTATTTTTATATTCTTATGCTTATATGTTGTATTCAACGATTTATTAGAAAGATCGCTTAGTAGCGCTTATTGGAAAAGCCTGGAGCCAAAAATGGGTTTGTTACCACCTTGAACTCAATAAATGGCACAAATCAACATATTTAAAACGATTTCGAATATAATCTTCTAGAAAAAGAAATTCTCTTCTAATGAAGCATATTCTAACTTGAAAAATGATACATAATAATCAATTTGATTTTTTTAGAATTAAAAGTATCGTCTAATACTATCATTTTGCCTAAGACACTATAAATATTTTGATATAGTATTGCTATAGTCTTTTCTTGGGATTGGTAAATGGTACTTGGTCATCAAAATTGAGGAATGACTCCGAGACGTAGACCTTACCGCTGATGGAACCCAAACAACATATCGGTAGTGGTGCCTGTACCAAAGATATGCAATCAAAACAATGCGAAATTGCTAATTGGACTCACTAACACTGAGTGATCAGTTAACCTTACCAGTAATTCAACTAACA